ATTCTTCAATTTAAATTGTAATGCAATAATGAATTTTAAAGAATATTAAAATAGTAATTATGGATAATAATACTTATTATATATTAAGCTTTTCAAAACTTAGTCAAATGTATCAGACATGGTACAAAACATATATTTTTTTTTTTTAAATTGACAATAAAAATTGAGCTTACCAATTAATATTCCATATCATTTAATTCTGAACTATTGGTAATACAAATTATTATATCATCCCCAGTCCACACATTTTCATTAAATTCAACCATTTGAAAAAATTCTTCTACTTTTATGACATGATCGATGGCGCATTTCAAATTCTCGGTCACAATGCAATCTAAGCGTTCTTGAGCTAATATTTTTACGTCAGAAAATTTAAAGGTTTTACTTTTCCCTCGCAACGTATCCTTACCCTGTTCGCATTTAAAGAAACTGATGAAAGAATAATAAATATTGTTTCTTGCAGACGATTTTCTTCTACAGCGAAATAAAAGTAAAAATTATTTATCTCGCATTTGATTTGCAACGTCATACAACATTCGTTTTTTAGGAGCGAGTTATCCTTATTTATCAAAATATGACGCCAAATCAAGGATCCCAGTAAGAATTAAAAAACTATAACCCATTTTTAATAATTCTATGATGTACATATCGTAAAACATAGTTCTAATTTAATTTATGACTAACGTGTTTATCTTTTGAAAGCTTATATACAGTTTTAAAAGCATATGTGTATAATTTGATAACGAAATACGAGAGAACTATATGCAAGCACGGAACATTATTTAAATCCTGCTGTTGTTAAATCCAATGATCTCTTCTTAACTTTCAATGCAGTATAGATACAAAATTTTGTGTGAATTGCGTATAAGTGTATACGTCATATGACCGTATTTGTACATTTTTTAGTGACACAGACTAAAAGAGAAAATAACTCTTTAAAGACAAAATCGAATATGATATTATTTTAAAAAAGTTTATTGAAAAAAATTTGTCCTTAAATCTTGATTCGTGATTTCAATGCTTGCACGCACCCTCAAGCGGGGAGGATATTTTCAGGTTGCTATTTATTAAGTTTTCATTTAGTTCTATTTTGTCTTCAATTCACTGTGAATTAAATGAATTTCGCATTGATTACTTCGTTTCAATGAATAAATGTTATTTCAGAACTTGCAGAACTGTAATACTTGTAGAATGTTGTTCTTCTTCAAAGAATAGTATATATCTCTGAATCTATATAATTCGGAAAAACAACAATAAAGAATCATCCGAATTACTTGAAATAGTATCATTTTTGTTGATAATTAATAAATTTTAATTGTTTCCTTGGTAAGGATTTTGAATGATTAGTTTCATATAGAATTCAGCTATTCTGTTTTTAAGTTACATATGGAAATTCATATCGAGATCTTACAATTATAAAATTTTATTGTGTAGTATGTCATCTTAAAGTAATGAAGGGATAATCTACGTATATATTACTTGAGAATGAAATTTTCAAACGAAGAACATTCAATTTTGGAATTCTCCGGATTTATAAAGCCGGTAAGTATTATGATTTCTTATAATAAAAAATTTACTTGTAAATAATTTTATTTCTCATTTGATGATATTTCTCTACAGAATGGTTTTCTACGTCTGATTAAGAATGAAAAACAACATGAAAGTTTTTTATTTGAATATGAGGAATTTTCAGAATCGTTTTAGTTTTCTTTTTTTATCGCAAGCATTCTTTATTTTACGATTTTTAGTCTATAAATAATGATTTTCAAATGAAACTTTAAATTTCTTCATTAAAACTTGTCAAAAAAACTTTTTTGCAAAATTAAATGATATAACATTATGAATTTCTGTACACTTCTTGCATATTTTAATGTTTTATTTTATAATTTTATAACCGTCGTTGAACAGCCGACCCAATTTTTGGGTTTACGACTGCTAATGTTCAACTTCGTAGCCTTGTAATTTTGAACCCAACCCAGAAGACAAGGGATCTCAGAATCAAGTGTTGGGAGAAATTTGCTTTCGTAGGACTTTTTGATGGAACTAACCCGCATTTGCGTTACATGGAGATGAAGACTACGAGAACCTCCCACGGTTAGCCTGACGGCAAAGGGACTCTAACCCATGATCCGTCTACCACTGAGGATATTTCACGTCGGCACATATTTTAATGTTTGAAGTAATATGATTCAGAAAAGTATGAAATGTAAAGTTTGAATAGGCCTTTTATAATAGACAATTAAATTTAGTAAAGCGATTTCGCAGGCATTAGGTTTTAACCTTAATAAAATACTTTTTTTTTCTGTTCATTTACAAATATTTTTCCAATATATTTTGGATGTTTCGTTTCTAAAAAAAGATATTCTTTTTTTTCTTTTCGCTTGCATAAAACAGAATATCAAGCATTTTTCTATTTTAAATTTACTAAGCCACAATGAAGAAGGAACGCTACAATACTACACAGAAGACATTTGCAGTCCAATTGATAATCGTGTTATTCTGCTAGCAGTCATTCGTCTCAAATAACAATTCCCCGTATAGGTCATTGCGTTAGAGAATAGTCACAAAAATATAATTTTTAAAATAGTTCGAGTCTATTTGTTTATCAATTTATTATTATTTTATTTATTTATTATTATTTTACTTACTTGTTATTATTTTATTTATTTATTATTATTTTACTTATTTGTTATTATTTTATTTATTTATTATTATTGTTTTATTTATCATTATTTCATTTAATTATTATAATTATTTTTTGCATTCTCAATAAAAGAAAAGTAGTCATTTCAAAAAGAGAGAATAAAATAAATCATTTATAAATTAAAAAACTATTCAAATTTTCAGAGATTTTTACGTCATTTTTAAAAAGTATACATATATCTTAACCTCTACTTGCGGAACTTTCGTGAAATTGGGAAAATCATATTTAGATTACATAGAAATAAAAGAAATTTATATAGAAAATAGACTTTTTTAAATAGTCGATTGAACTATTGAAGTTCTATGCACTGAAAAAGTCTCTGTGTATAGTAAGTTACAACCATTTTTGCTGTTAAGGTAAACTAAATAGATTTTAAAATACAAAATTGTAGTTATCGAGCAAAAAATTCTAGAAAATTGACAAAAAAACAATTGTTGGAAGGAATTATTGCAAAAAACACTATTAAAAATGAGCTTGTTTCTTGAACAAATTAGGTTTGTGAAAAGAATAATCAGAAGCAGAAAGACATACCTGAAATGTGAACACTTCATTTGTTTCATAAATTATAGCAATAGAAAAAATTGAGCGTTTCCATCTTTACAATAAATGACGCAAAAAAAAGTGTTTTCATTTTAAGTAAATTATGTTTCTCATAATATTTTTATAATTATTCTTAAAATACACCAAAATGTCAAACGTTTATTTTACATATTTGAGGGAGGAAAAAAACCTACTTTTTTGAAAGAAGAACGTTAATTTGTTGTGTTTTTAAACATGAAAAGCAAATTCGAATAAAAAAGGAAAAGGACACACTTGAATTAACTGAACAAACCTGCCTCCTGTGGAATGGGACAGAGTTAAAGGATGCATTTATGCTTGTATTTTAAAATTATAAAATATTCCCTCTTTTTTTTAAAAAAAAATAATAAAAAATTTTTTTTTAGTTAAAAGTATTCAAGTCTCATTAAAATTAATTAAATTTCGGAAACATTTCTTTGCTAAATTTGCTTAATTTTTTTTAAATAGCATCAATTTCTTTTCTGATATAAAGTGGATTTTAAGAATTTTTTTTAAAATTTTTATGCGACCGAATTTATTTAAAGCTGAATTCAGATGAAAAAATAGCTGAAATGCCAATATGCATACAGATTCACACACGGTTTTAAAAAAATCTTTGCAGAAAGAAACAAAAACGAATATCAGACTGAAAACGTCATATGGCAGACAGTATTAAATTTTAATTTTTTTTTTTTTCTTTTTGCAATACTGGATATTATTGAAACTGGTTTCACATAAATGAATAAAGAAAATATTTTCCGAAAATTCCGCAGATTTATAGCATCATCATCTGTAACATCACTATTTACAAAATATCAAAAGAAAAATGCTGTAAATCTACATTATTTTAAAGTTGCAACAAGTTGTTGTTTGAACATCTTTTTTTCTACATTATATAATTCCAAAATTGGATAATTCTTTAACGACGAACTTGAACCAATTGTTACAAATAAACATGCGTCTGTTTATATGGTTACATATGACCAATATTATGTGATTTTTAATTGTGTTTTGCACCATGGGATTAATTTGAAACTGGCTTTATATGAAAAAGTGAAATAATTTTACTAAAATTTAATTTTCCTTTCCTTTTATGTTATGAATTTAATTTGAACTATTATTTATGAGTATCACATTGGTGGAAACTATTTACCTTCGAAAAACTCGCCAATCGTATTCTTGTTCGCCGACGAAAAAATCGCAACCTGTGGGAATGGCCTTTTTCAAGACCATTGTTTTGATAAAAAAAATCGCGAAACTTCACTTGCTAAAAAAACTATACACGAATTCGGAGCTGCGAACGAGAATCTGATTGGCGAATTTTTCGGGGGTACATTTAATTCATTAATCAGATTCTCAAATGTCCTGCATTCTCAGCTGTCTCAGATTTCCTGCATTTGCATGCTTCAATTTTTCATACAGTGTGAATGGCCCTGAAAGTACAGTTATGCCTAGAAACTGGTGGAGAATTCTCACTGGGTGAAATTCACATGTGCGATCGCATGCATGCGCTTTTTCTGCTTTCTTGAGCTTGCATCTAACCATGAATGCTAAAGCATCTAACTCTTAAACACTCACAAGTGTGTTTTGGATGATCGGATACACTGTGTGAAAATTCGCGCACCAATTTCTCGCTCGCATCTATGAATTCGCAACTGTGATTTAGGCAGAAAGTGAAAATCGTTCCTTAAAAAATGGATTCCAACTGAGCTGTTGAAGATTTCATTTTCTGTATTAACTGTAACTTCGACAACTTAATACCCAGCATGAAAAAATGTAAACAAATTTTTTTTTCATGATAAATAATTTTATTACAAATGGGAAAGAAGAAACGTTCTAGTGATAGTTCTTTGAACAGCGAAGTTATAAGTTCTTCCTCTAAAGACGTGTCTTCTAGCCGTTCTGAATTAGATAACATTCCTGAAAATATCCACATTTTTAAAAATCCTAAGTTTGTTCTTGCCAAAGCTGCCGGAAAGAAAAATCGTGTCTGGAAATCCTTGCGCCAGATAGCTTCTGCAGAAAAAGCTCTTTCTCGAGCTGTTACTTATTCAAGCATTGATTCACCCGTTTCTCTAAAACCACCTAAAAAGTACTCTGATATTAGTGGATTCGAAGCTAAATACACTGATCCACAAACTAAAATGCGATTTTCTAATGCTGCAGAATTTCAAATTATTCGGTCACTTCAGCCAGAAACTGTAAATAACTACCTATCTCTTCGTAAAGCAAACTTAATGTGATTTAGACGTGTTTAGTTTTCGTATCTAGGTAATTGATTTCTAACCTAATTAACTTTTGACTTTGTAGGCATCTACTTTGTGATACAATTTGTAATTTAAAAATGATGGCTCAAGTAATTACAATATTACTTATTTCAAATTATGTAAAATATGGGTTTTTCTCAAGTAACATCTAAATATTCTTCTGAAAAGATAAAATTTAGGTGAAACTAAATTAAGATGAGATACAGACTTATGCTTCAAATGTTTTCCTTTATCAATAAGTGGTGCGAAAACCTGAAATTTATAGGGAGACTAGGGATATTAACATATCGTGATCTGCCACGCAACTACAATTGCCAAAATGATTTTAAATGGGGAAGTTTTTTTAAAAAAAAACTTGTAGAAGTTTGCCCAGGGGTGATACGTATCACGATACGAAAATCTCACTGAGTGACTTATTTAATTAATATGTTTCATATTAAATGTATTTGAATATGGCAAAATATTCCTTATTTTTTGTCTTAGGTGGTCTATTTTGTCAAGATGAGTAACATTTTTGGGAATATTTCTGTATTGTGATCTGTCATGCCAACTAATATTGCCAACTAGATTTTGAACTTGCAAATTTAAAAAAGAAAAAAAAGCATGTAGATGTTTGCCCCGGGGTGGCTGCAATTTTTATCTTTCTAATTTGTCCATTTATCTGATGTGTTTTTTAGTTTCTCGTGGGCCACTGCCCAGAAGTTGCCAAGACTTGGCGATCACTATATGGAAATCTCCCCCAAATTATTGTGCAAGATTTAAAAACTTATTTACAAAAAAAAAAAAATTTACATTGTAATGGTATGAAAAAACTTGTTATCAATTATTTCCTTACACAGTGGAGACTAAATATTCAGTTATGTTATTTGTCTATATTTTTACTGAATTCCGTTTTTTTTTTAGCAGTGCTTCAGTATTGTTTCGTGTAGTCATGCCATAATATCTCAGAATATGCTAAAAATTTGTATCTTTGTAAATTCAGTAGGTATTTATTATCTAATTAAGTCTGATGTTACTCATGCAGATTATAGAAATATATTTCATTTTCTCTATTCCCAAACTTAACTTCTATAAGTTGCAATCAACTTCTTAAACGATTGCTAAATTTTTAATTATCATTTTTTAAATTTTCTCTGTGAGACAAATAGAATTTTTTTCAAATATTTACTTTTTTGCCCTGTTAAGGCCAGAATGGAAAGATTTCCATTATCATTAATACCACAAAATAATTACCAAATTTTGGTAAAAATATACAGTGGTAGGCGAGAAACTAAAAATCACAAAAAAAAAGACTTAATAGAAGGAGACCAACTCATAGCCATCCTCTTGCAAACCACTGCATTTTTTTTTATATTTTTGCTAGTTATAAAATCCTGTATCATTTTACACCTTTGCACACAGTTAGTAAACACTTTGGGTTTTATTTTATAATTTATTTGTCTCTAGATTTACTACTTTAAACCCATTTTAAGATTATTCTTTAATTGTACTTTTATATTTCATTTTTAGATTCTTTGAAATGTCTATTTCTCAGTTAACTAGAGTCTTAACAAGATCACATCATTATTTTGTTTCTACTCCAATATTTTATGTAAATGGTGGTAAATATGTTTTTGTTTTACCTAAATATTTGAACTATATGTACTATACTTTTTCGTTTTAATACTCTTGAACTGAACTAAGACTTAGAATTTGTGTGTACATATATTATCTTCACTGTGTGAAATCTGGCATTCTGTAGAGTGACTAATGACTAAATGTTAAATTATTATACTACAGTGGAGCATCATTTATACGACGTTTTAGTGTGGTCCCAAATCATTCCTGTTTTTTCTAATGTAAAAATATATCGTTTATACGACGCACAGAATCGGTTATACGGCGGTTTTTAGATTTTGTTCATGTTTATTAAATTTTTTATTTTTTCTTGTTTATTTTAAAAAAAAGGGCGGTATTTGCCAAAATGAATGATACAAAAAAGGGTGCCAACAAGAATGCTTGGATGACGACCGTAATTTTTACTAGATGACTGAAAAAACTAGACAATGTTATGAAGAGGGAAAAACGAAAAATTTTGCTATTCATCGACCAATGCCCAGCGCACCCATCGATACTAATTATTTTGGAAAATGTAAAAGCTCTCTTTTTTCCTGCAAATTGCACAAGTGCGCTTCAGCCATTAGATTTGGCCGTGATTAGAAAT